ACTGGATTATCTATACTCTTGCTTTAAAAGCTGAAGTAGAAAAATGCCCAAGTATCAGACATTACAAATTAGCATTTTTCCCAATAACTGTCTGGCAGGTCCTAAAAGCAGAAGTAGAAAAGTGCAGAACTTACAAATGATCTATGCCTGATATGAGGAAGAACATCCTAACTAAATAAAGTTTTTAATTCCATGAAAATCTGAATGTCATACATGCTTTAGCTAAGCTTCCAAACAGAAGCACTTGAGTATCATGGGAGTGTAGTGCATGAGAGAGAAAAGGCAGACATCATTACGAACACCTCAGCTTCACCAGACATCTCTACATAGCCCTGGGGCTCACAAGAAGCAATCTACAAATACGTATCACTTTGACCTGCTCCCAGAAGCCACTGCAGTGGTATTTGCATGGGTACACACAGAAAAGATAAAAAGAATATATAAAATAGAAAATCACAGAAGCTGGAAGCAACTTGTGAAAAGAGACAGTAGATTTGCGGAGGTCAAAAAATATTCAGAGTTATCACAATGAATATGTACTTTTTTAAAATTTCCAAATGCATTAAAATACATGATGATTCATGAAGTGGGTGAAGTTTAAGCCAGTGGGGGCTTGGCAGAACATACTTATGGAGAGATCATCCCAGGAGTTGCAAAGAAGGTCAGGCTTGGTGAACAGCCAACTTGCGGCAAAGACCATTTTTGCCAATAAGGACCTGGAATATATGAATCCTGCTCCATCTCTTTTTCACGTTCTTATACATCTTTAGAAAAGAAGCATCAGGTCCCAACATTACAACTGGGGGAATTAGTATGGTGCCTTCTGATAGTCTAAGAGCACATAACTTTGCATAGGGGGACTGTGAAAGGAAAGAAAGCCTGGTACCGAGAGAAGCTTGTAGAGCGTATTTTAGGAAGACTCTAGGAGCCATTTGGAGGAGAATGAGGGTTTAGAATCTCAAATATAAAATTGAATAGGGATGTACAGTCAGATGGGCAAGGGGCAAGTGAAAAGCAGTTTATAAATAGGTTAGCATGACACAGCATGACCATCCCTACCATATATATGGTAGCATGATGATAACTGTGTCTTCAAAATTACTGATGCTGCTGATCAGGGGAAAAAAAAGATAAAAATTTCCTTTGACGTTCACACTCCGTAGAGGCAAACCAAGTGTACTTTGGCACCTCTATTCACTACTGAGATATACAAGGTTGATAATGAACTAAGATTTTCTAGAATATTATTGCAGAAGAAGTAAGGAAATATAATAATCAAGACAGTAAAATAAGAAAGTGAAGTTGTACATAATTGAGAAAGGTCATCAACTGTCTCAGAACATCTGTGTGGGTATCCTTATGAAACTCCCAGAATCCTTTAGGACATTTATTGTTTAGGTTACCCTGATCTGCATGTTTAGATCCTGGAAACTATTCAGGCCTTTCCTATATTTGTTTAGTTTTAGAACAATGCCACACTGATTTTCAGTTTACCTTTGCAGAAAGGGTGTTATGCTGGGGTAGGAAAAAGAGCTTCATGCACCATGAGCCCTGTTCCTGGATCTTTGGATCAGATATTTCCCACTGCCTATACCAGTACAGAAGTAATAAACTTCTATCACAATTTTACATTGAGAAAGCCAAGCAAATATTTTAAAGTGTTTTGTTGTCTCTTCAGAGGCTGACAGTGATTGGGGTCTATTCTACAAAGATTTCTCCAGACTACCCAATGGCTCCTGTCTGGCTATCGCTTCTGATTTTTGGTTCCTCTTCATATGGAATCTAATCTGGTATTATTGCAATTAATGGGTACTCGTCTCTGAAAATGCAGCTTTCCACGTGAATAGTGTTAATGGGACCGAGCTGTTTGTCCGCCGTCAGAGTGATGCTTTCTACTGTGTTTCTGACTTAATTTTCCTCAAAACAGATGAACTATTGCATTATTTGTATTTCTTAAAAGCAATGCAGTGTCAGATTGTACCTTCTGGTCTCGCACTGTTCCTCTGCAAACTATTGTGCGTGCCTGTGTTCATAAATAATATACCCACTTGTGCATACAGCTAAAATTTTTGTGTGTGCAAGGGTTTTAAGCAAACGCAGAGACATAAAATACAAATTAACTCGATCCCCCACTGCAGTCGTAACACAGCCAAATCCTTAATATTTTATAGTGCATATTCCATTAAATAAATGACTAAATTGATCTATGCTACAATATGTGTATACATACACATTTCATGATGCCTGTAAATAACATTTTAAAGCCTGTTCACACATCAAAAGACAGGTTTTTTATTTCTCTGTTAAAACAATCCAAGGATTTAACTCTTCCTATTATGTAAACAGTGGTGACGGACGCTTTCAAGGAAGCTTAACTTCAATAAAAATAATAGTTTCCCATTGTAAAATCAATACTAATATACCATAAATCCCCCGATGAACTCTGGCTTCCTTACATGCTCTCACATTTTGTGTATTAGGGGCACAGCACTACTCTAGATATTAGAATATAATAATATGGCAATATATATAGATATAGATATATATTTAAATGTTAAAACATTTGTAAGGTCAACTTGAGTAATGAATATATTTCAAATACATGCTTCTTTCTATAAATAAAGGTCATTAATTTTCTTTGCAACACAGGTGCCTTATAAGGCTTTGGTTTTATGTGGCTACCAAACTGGTAAAACAATTCTGGTATCTTTAGTTCAAAATGCACTTGTGACTTAGGGATGAAGCTTTAACTTTTTCTGTATTTTATACTAAAACTTGCAGTAGAGTTGCAATATTATTTATGAGATTATCTTAGGGTAGACATTTTAAACAACTCATACAAAAGAAAGTATTTGTTTTAGTGACAAGAAAGCTAGGTATAGTTTATTCATTTCTCAAGCAGACCTTTATGAATCACTTTAAAAGGACACTACAGCTGAAGACTGAAGAGCAATATTTATCAACATTAAATAAAACATTTGGTGAAATATGTATAAATATTTCTTCATATGAACATAACACAAAATTAAATAGTTCAGATACACAGACACCATTTAATATATTTCCACTGTTGTCAAAATCATCTGTAAACACCATCTCACACTGAATACAAAAGCAGCTTTAACATCAGTTCTGTGTTCACAACACTGATGCCCCTTTGTAAAATAAGATATTTGTTTTGTTTTATTTTCAGCAAAATAAGAGTCTAAGCAATAAAAAAAAGTTTTGGTCAGTTCAAAGGAGAATACAAAATAATCTTTCAACATGTAACTAAATCAGATTTAGAGCAACAGTTTAAAGTACAATCCTTTCCCCAGGGGACCTCTGACTTTTATATGTGACTTTTTATGTGGTGCAGACCACATCACAAATACCAGGAATTACTGGTTATGTCTAAGCTATAAATATTAAAGCCCTTTTAAAATTGTCTTTATCAAAAATTGCCAGGTAAGAAATTGGCAATATCACATTTTTCACAACACCGAATAACCTAGCGTCAAACGGATTTAGGTGCACTTCTCCTGATGATTTTAAAACAGGTTCTGGAAAAGAAACACTTTTTAGTGAGCATCCTCCATGTGCAAATATAAAGCATTTCTTTTACACAAATCTTTTGCATCTGAAGGTCAGCTGGGCAGACAGTGCAAGCAGGTGGACTCCACCAAGTTTTGTCAGAAAATTATAACTTGAACTTTCATTGGAAGCTGTAGAGATACTGCACATTAGATCAGAGCTGGCTCCGAGAATGGTGGTGCATCCACACGGTGCAACTCAGGACGAGGTGTTGCAGCACCCGTGTGTGCCACAACAGCAGCACAGACCCCCCAGCATAACATGGGTGTTCTGATGATGATTGTGCCTGCCTGGCTCCTGAGCAGTTCCCTCTGGGCATCAGTACTGTGCAGCCCTGATCTGGAGTTCCATCACCCTACGCCCTACAAAGATAGCTTCAAACTCTTTCCCAAATGTAGCCCTCAGTTCCTTTCACGTTTCTATCTTTTAAAGAGGTGTGATCACATTCCAGAGAGACACTATGCTCAAGATTAAGGTTTTACTGGGAATCTACCCCATTATAAAATTCTGTAGACTGTTAGGCTCACAGGCTATACTTTGGTTCTTTCTTTTTGAAATGTGGACATCATGTTTTGGTTCCATAGATAAACTTGAGTTTTGGGTGGCAAATAATGAACTATATACATATAACATGATTTTCTGACTCCTTTTTAAAATTTCAATCACATGAAATTATGATGAGTGGTCCTGTAAAACCTAGAACATTAGGTCACCTCTTTCCCAGTATGTGTGTATTTTACATGTGTGAATGTATGTTATGCATACATACACTCTCACACACACACATATATATAACATGAGCTGCACACATAGATACTTGGAAATCAGGAATCAGGGGGACAATTAACAATACACCAGAAGAGAAGTAGACAAGAAACTCTACCTGGACAACAAGAAGCAATTTTTCAACCTATACAGTCTCTCAAATAGTTTCATAATCCTGTTTCACAAGCTTGCTACCTCTCTATGTAACTTGAATAGAAAGATGCTGGATTCCTTGGAAACAGAAGAGTTGGGCTAGCTAAATGTGCTTACCTGAGATCTCAGAGTTGATTATGATCAAAGAGCTGGGCAGATAAGTAATGGGTTTATAACTGCTATACAGCTTCTTGCAAATTTGTAGGAAAACTATATTAAATATTTCATTCCTTAGTAAAAACACTGAAGTTTGTTAGTTTTTGCTGAATGCAGACTTGATTTCTATATTAAACTGGATTTATTGAAAGGATAAATAAGTCTGGCAGCTGCTTTCATGACTTGATATTTAAATCATAGAATCAGCACCCTGGAACCACCCTCCCACCCCAACCCATCCCGTCATATTCCTTACTATCCTGTGTCCCATCCTGCCCTGTCCCGTGCCGTCCTGTCCCGTCCTATCCCATCCCATCTTGTCCCATCTCATCTCATCTCATCTCATGTCATCCCTGTTTCATTGGTTTTTTATTGTTTAAAAAATACTATTCTATGAAGCCTCCCTAGGGATCCGCTTATGAAAAATGACAGACTGCCTTTGCTGATACTGCTGTTTGCGTTGTTTTCGTTTGTCACACTGGCACAGCAGTAGCATCTTGAAGGTGTTTCTGAATGTCTTGTTACACAGTGCATAGCACATGGGGTTCACTGTGCTATTGATGTAGCAAAGCCAATACCCTAGGTGCCAGAAAGTTTTGGGGATACAGCTGCAAAAGGTGTTTGCCAGAACCATGATGTTATATGGGGTCCATGTAATGATGAAGGCAAACAAAATGGCACTGAGTGTCTGCGCTGCTTTCTTTTCTTTGATAAGTGACATTCGTTTTCGCTTTGTGATCTGACTTCTGGTCTTCAAGGCAAACTTTTTTGCCAGTGTTGCTTCCTTGAAGGACAAGGGCAAGGTTGCAGATGTCTTGGTTACTGATGAGATGCCATCAGAAGCTGTGGTTGTGTCTTCTGACTCTGGCTCAACTGGAATCTTAGAAAAGCTCTTTTGGAAATTTCCACCATCCTGAACACTTTTGGGAGGGTGCGATTTTTTTGGTTTCTTTTCCTTAGATTCTGTGTGGGATTTCTGCAGTTCATCCCCTGACTCATGCAGATCTTCCGAGGAGGGTAGTTTTGTGGAATTGAGGATAGCACTGTGACCAGGAAGCTTCAGCACAATTGAATAGATGGCTCTGGTTTCTGTAGCAATGTCTTCTTCATCAGAGGAAGCTGAATTTTCAAGGGAGGCAGCAGCATCGTTGTTGTTCCAGCTGTCACTGCTGCTATGATCTTGATCTCCCTGGTCGTTGTTGGGTTCCCAGCTCTTCATTGTGAGCCAGAAATGGCAGCGTCCATATTTCTTTCGAGTGGAACGTTTCATGCTCTGCCGTTGCAGCTCGTAGCTGCTGCAGCTGCGGGAGCTGCCGGTCTGGTGTACAAAGCGTTCTGCCTCTGCTTCACTGCCCGAAGCCTGTAGCCCTGCTAACTCTTTGGTGCGTTTCTCCGTCTCCTTGTAGATCCTCCAATACAAAATACTCATAATGGTGACTGGCAAATAAAAGGCAGCTATGGCAGTGCCAAAAGTGATGATAGGTTCACTTAGAAACTGGATGAAACATTCATCAGGAGGCACAGTCCTCTCCCCTACAAAATACTGCCAAAACAAGATGGCAGGGGCCCAAAGAACAAAAGAGACTATCCATGCTAAACCAATCATCACCCCAGCCCTTTTGGTTGTTCGTTTGGCTCTGTATGTTAGTGGCCTAGTGATGGAAAAATACCTGTCAAAACTTATAACAAGGAGATTCATGACGGAGGCATTACTGGCAACATAGTCAATGGAGAGCCAAAGATCACAGGCTAAGCTTCCCAAAGCCCAGTGGTCCATGATGATGTATGTTGTATAAAGATTCATGGAAAGAACACCGATGATCAAATCTGCACAAGCAAGGCTCAACAAGAAGTAGTTGTTGACCGTTTTCAGTTGTTTGTTAACTTTAAATGCAACAATCACTAAGATGTTTCCTATGATGGTCACCAGGGCAAGGATCCCCGTGAGGAAAGCAATCAAAACTACTTGCCAGACAGTGTGTCCACCCAGAGGGTCTTTGCCTGTGGCATTTAGGGTCATGTTTGTTGATTCCACAGTGGAGAAGGTAAAACTCTCTGTGGTCTGAGGGAAATCATAGCTGCCAATGAGTGATGCTGCTTCCTCAAGGAGTCCTGGTCTGTGCGAATCTCTCTTCCAGAAGGAGCTCACATTTGAAAACAGAGGTGAGGCTGAACTGTTATTTTGCATGATCATTGTGGCTCTCTGACATAGTCTGCAGTGGAGAAAAACCAAACAAAAATTAAGTGAATAAGTGAAGATGGTAAATAGATAATCGTCCTCATACTCATACATAAAATCACTTCAGCACTCTGAAAGGTGTCTTTAAAAGCCAAGATGCCTGTCAGACATTCCAAGCCAAATATGTATGTGGCAGTACTCTGCTTTCTGTTGGTGTTTAATCTGAGCTCTTTGTACTAATCACACTGTGATTCCTTACATATATTCAGTCACAGAAGAACTAAAATCCCAGGAGAATTTGAACCCACAGTAGAATTAAAACGCCCTCTAACTCTAACTCTTAATTAAAACACTCCCTGACGGATTTGCCCTGAACTCAACATCTCGACAGTCCACCATCCTGGAGCTAAATTCTAAACACACGCAGCCACAAATCCTCCAAGTTCCTATCAATGCTGGTCCCCAGTGCTATCCCTGGCACTAGCAAAAGACAGACCCAACCTCTACTAGTTTCAGCTATAGCTAGTTACAAACAAAATTATTGTTCTACCTTATCTTAAACTATAGAGATGCAATCCAGCATCACTTCACTATGTCAAGCTATTCTAACCTGTGAGGCTGCAAAGCCCTTTTCATTTTCATCTACATTTCAGCTACCTGATAAAGGTACTAAAACTTCTCATTAGCACTTTTTGCACATGACAGTATTCATTTTTCATGCACATTTTTATACTTAGACTAAGGATTTTGTACATCCAATGACTTCAAAATGTCTTTGGGGAAACATGGTGAAAGTTCCTTTGAAACTATGGTCTCTAGAGTAAGGAAAAATGTTTGGCAGATGTATGTCAAAGCAATCGCTAAACACTTTAGGAAAAGAGGAAAAAAAAAATCAAAGGGATAATTAAGCCTTAATCCTTTACCCAGAGTACTATAATAAAATGAAGACACGGTCAGAATAGGAATTTGCATTTCCCTTATTTCATTAGCTTCTATGGTCAGCTGACTAGATTCATAGTAATTAATCAATTATATCAAGAAGCAAGAATTATGATGAAAAAGTCCATCATCAACCATAAATGTTGAACAGAATATGCTGTCACTGTTTGTTTGTTTTCTAAATGTGAGTCCTTCTAGAGTCAATACATTATGGCATGAGATAATAATGAGTATCACAATACACTGGTGTTACACAAAAATATTTAGCCAAAGGAGTTTTTTGTTCTTGTTGTTGTTATTGTTTGTTTTTTTAATCAATTTCTAAATTCTCTTTTCACTTGAACTGTACTTGGTTTTGTTACCAAGCCATGACATGCTATGTGATTTTAAATGGAGCAGTTTCATTAACATATCTAATAAATAGACCGACAGTTCCTTCCCCTCACTCATGCACAGTAACACAAACCCCACACCTATTTTGAAATCTAACATAAACGAGATATTAATGTTTCTCTTTATTAATAGGAATACAAGGTTACAGTGATGATGCCTTATTTTAATCTAATTCAATCCACTTTTAATGCATTCATCATTGTATCACATAGAATATGAACATAATGTGTAAATATTGCTCTGGTAAATCACGCAGTTAAATTTTAAGTCTTTTCCTGAAAGAAAGATTGAAAACTTGGAGCAGTTCACCTTCTAAAAAGAAAAATGGTAAGATTTTTATTAACTGTAAATTAACATTGATAACTTTGATTTTCTTGAAATTTAAGGACACTGAAACTAAAATTATCTTTTATCAAAAAACTTTTGCATTCCAAGTTTTCTTTTTTTTTGCAAAGTTCATAGGAAATAAATGTGCAGTTTCGCATGAAAGTTCAGGCAAAAAAAAAGACATTCTGAAAATTTGTCGAGCTGCTTCTCTGACACAATGAATGAACTTTTCTGACACAATTTCACCATGTCCTTGCCATCTATTAGAGAATCTCTGGGACAGACCATGTTTCTTTTTTTTCTTTCTCAAGATATATTACTTCTGACTATGGAGCTGCTGTAGGGCAGGCCACTATCACGCTGTTTCAAAGAATCCGAAGAAGTCAAATCTGCACTGTGTGAGAAAGAGACTCACCTAAACTACAACAATGAAACAGAAGTCTGCAGAGAGTAATTTTCATAAGGGCAAGCAGAGGCCTAGATGAGGAGCATGATCTCTTGTTTTGCCTTTGTACCCCCTAAAGCTCAATTCCTTGCCTTGGCCAAAGATGACATTCATTTATACATCTTTAAAAATGGAGATCCCACATACTCAAAAACTACAGATAAAGGCCTCTGGAAACCCAGTGTTCTCCTTTGACAAAGATACTGAAGCAGCATTCAAGTTTGGCTTGCCCCTTCCAATGTGTGAACAAAACACACAGTTAACTTGTGAACAATCACTTAAGCAACTGTTGACACTGTCCTTGCCAGTTGTTTATGAGCCAAGGTGGTTACTCATAGTCAGGAAAAAACCTTTAACTCAAACAGGATTGCTGGAAACCATCCTTCTCGCAATGTTTTATTTAGGAAGCAGGCTTTTCTTTCCAGAGCTGTCAGAGAGGATGAGGTCAAAACCAGAATAGTATGAGAGAGATCTCAAATAATGATATTTGCTAAATATATGTCAGAAATTATTAATGTTATAGGGTGCAGACCTTCCTTCACTCACACTAGGGACAGAGAGCAGAGGATGCAAGCCAGAAAGCATCCGCTCTGCAGCCATAAATTTCTAAAACCTCTACAAGGTAACAGCCAACATAGTTATGTATTGGTTGAGAAGTCTGATGAGTAAATTTAGATGACTATGATATTCTGCTGCTTTTTCAAAAAAAAAAAAAAAAAGACAAGCTGGTATTTTCTAACACACAAGAAAGGACCAGGAAGAAGATCTAGATCTAATCTATCTATCTATATCTATATCTATATCTATATCTATATCTATATCTATATCAATCTATCTCTATCTATCTCTATCTACATATCCATATCATCTATATCTATATCCATAACTATATCTAGATATACAGATATATAGATATACATATGAAGGAGATAAAACTTCCACTACAGGGCATAGGAAAAAAAACCAATATCACTTAGAAGTGATGGTAGAAAACAGTATTACTAAGAAATAAAAATAGGTAACAGTTTGGTAGTACTTCCCATTTTCACTGCATAACACAACCACAAACTAATCTGAGTGTTAGCCTTGGAAATCCAAAACAAATACCACATAAATAATACAAATAACCTTTCAAAATTAATGTGCAAATGCCACACTATCTATCACTAAGTCCACAAAACAATTGTGAACTCTGTTTGATTGTAGACTTTGAAATGGAGTTTCAGTGTAAATTAACCAATAAATCCTTTCAGAAATGTCATGTTTCAAAAGACTCATGATGAGGAGGCCTGGCAACACTGTTATTTAGCTGCAGTCTTTGTGCTGAACAAGTGCTGAACCAAACCTTTATTTCTTAGGTCAGTTCTCTCATCCCTGGACTTCAAAGTAACTTCTCCAAGTCACAGTTTCAATGAAGACCTGAACGGTCCTTAGCAGTCCAGTAACAGAGGAAGAGGAGAAACTGAGAGCAACCCATCCATTGTCCCCTGCTGCCCAGTGCAGAGTCCTGCATCTGGAACTTTTTTAACACCTTGGGGATTAAAGGGACCCCTAAACTCCCATTGACTGGACTATTTGATAAAATGAGAGTGCTAGCAGGAGTATAGTCTTTTGTTATCCTGCCTCTTCTACAAGTTCCTGTAATTGAACTGTTTAATTCAATAAAAAATATATAAACCATATGTTCATCTACAGAGAAAAAGAATATCACTACCACCACCACTATAACAGGTCAGATCAGCATAACTGGATTTTCTTGCCTTTAGGAAGCCAAGGCAAGCTATGTTATCTGTCATTCTCCAAAGCTACCATGCAATTTCTGCTTTCTATATAAGAAGTGCTACAGGGACAGAGAGTGTCCTGGGTTTGACAAGAAAACAGTGGGATCTGCAGTGCAGCCTGCCAGCACTACCCAGAAAGCCAAACTCAAAGACAGAATGATGTGTGACCAAGTGGGAAAGCAGACATACATACTTTGGTAAAACAAACAGTGCAGCACTGCCTGAGTGAGGCAAACAAACCAAACTGTGGAATGATTATAGGTTTACATGCTAGGGTAAGAGTTTACAAACCATTGGCATGATGCACTACATTACAATTTCAAGCCAGGAAGTAACAAAAGAAACTTCTTTTAGCCCAAGAATATATAATTACCTACCTAAGATTACTGCAATGGTATTCCCTGTGGTTTCCAGGTTTTTTTGTTCTTGTTTCTGTTTTTTAATAGAATCTAATGAAAGATACCGGCTGGAGAACACCAGACACAACGTACACTTCCCAGCATTATTCCGGAAAAGCACAGGCCCAGTACAGACAATGGCTATACAGACTTTCACACAGATCCATCCCAGTGTATCTCTGCTCCCTAGCCCACCAAAGGGAGTGAGATATTAGATATCCTACTAAGACCAATTGGAAAGGAAGGAGAAAGCAGCTACAGAAATAGTCACTAATTTCCATAAGTGGGTATAACTAAGAGTTAAAGCCTGAATTTTTTTGATAGTCTAATTTACTGCACATTACTGTAAATAGAAAGTAAAATAGAATAGACAGCGGTAACAGTTCTGTCACATTTTCGGTGCATTTAATTTCTCTCTGCTTACTTTATGTTTCAGTGCTTTTGTGAATACTCCACATTTTACAAAACTTTTTCTTTTCCTTAAACTCCCCTATTCACAACAGGAAGGTATGTTTTTCTTGCTGTCCTTAAAGGGCTCTAAGATGCATTTTCTGTGAAGTCAGACAGCACTCTATGGGCTTGGTTATATGTAAGCTCAAAACCAGCAAGCCTTTACAGTTCAAGAATTTCACATCTCATCTGTTACACAGACAAGAAAATTGCTTGCTTTATTTTCCCATTTTCTTTTGCATTGCTATTATATACACATTAGCCTAAACAGCAGAGAACTCCATGCAGTGATCTATAAAAG